CCTCCACCGTCTCGCTCAAGGCGAACCCTTGTACTCCAGCTGGATTACCGTGTGGGCTGATGATGTCTCAGCCAATCGTTCCAAGTCTTGGAACAAACACTGGAACCTGTACATAACTCATGGTAACCTACCACGCAAACTCCTGCAGCAGGAATTCCATGTTCACTTCGCATCTACATCTCCCAACGCTACTGTTGCTGAGCAGTTTGCTGCTATGAAGCGCATGATCGAGTACGTATTTGCATACTAATGTATCCTGAATCAAAAGTGAATAGTTTCTCCACTGACAGGGCATCGCAAACGGATCCGATATGGGTCCCTAGCCCTGGAGCGACGGAGTTCTCTCGCTTTAGGTTGTTTGTGAATGATGCCGATGCCGACAACCCAATGCAAAGCGAAGAGTGCGGCCACATTGGCAGCAATGGCAATTATGACTGCCGCAGGTGTAGGCGGGGTGGTTCTGAGGCTTTCCGTGTTACAGATGAAGGGTACCATCGCCTCTTTGAGGTATGTTTGTACACACTCTTATCACTGATTAAGCATCAACATGCACCTGCTAGGCACAAGAACCACGAAGCGCAAAGGAAACACTCTCTGAAGTTAAGGCACAGGTTCAGCTCGCATGCCATGGTGTCGCGAAGCACGTGTCCACCCGGCAGACTGATACAGGTGTAAAAGATTCATATACACAGCATTGGATCGACATGCTTTTGAAGCGTGCGAGGGAACTGAAGGCTGCAAACCGTAGCCGCAGCAAAGAAGATATTGCAAAAGAATTAATGGAATGGGTGATACAGAACGGCGATAATATATACAATCCATTCTTACAAGTACCAGGTTCGTCCATGGCCCTGCGCAAAATATGTGATCACTCACGCCGAGTTACAGGTTTCGATCCCAGCCGTGACACCCCGATCGAAGTTTTACACACAATCCTCCTTGGGGTGGTTAAGTACGGATGGCATATGACCCATACATCACTCTCAGAAGAGCAGCAATCAATATTTTTCCTGCGGCTGCAATCGAGTTCTATTGACGGTCTGACAATTCCTCCGATACGAGCAAGCTACCTTTGGCAGTACCGCAACTCATTAATCGGGAAACAGTTCAAAGAGATCCTGCAGACGGCAGTCTTCCACCTGTACGAACTTGTGGACTCAAACAAGTTCGATCTCTGGAAGGCCACTGGTTCACTATGTGCACTTCTCTGGTTCCCTGAGATCCCGAACTTCGAAGAGTATATCGTATGGCTATATATTGGTTTCATTCCTTGCTCTGCTCACGAATCATCCCATTAACAGGCAGACGTCAAGGTGGCAGCGGCAAATGTGCTTGACATCTTTGCCAAGATCAATCCGTCGAAGATTTCAACAAAGATCAAGCTACACCTACTCGACCACCTCCCCGAGGATATCCGCCGCTTTGGGCCAATAATTGGGAGGTCCACGGAGCTGTTTGAGTGCTTCAATGCGATATTTCGTTTCTGTGCTATCCTTTCAAACAGGATCTCTCCAAGCCATGACATTGCAATACAACTTGCTGATCAAGAAGCCTTCAAGCAGCGAATCACAGGGGTTATGTGGTAGCAGACTGATGGACAGTGGGTCTGTGCATCTCCCCAGGTATGCAGCTTCCTCGGAAAGCATAAGATTCTGCAGAATCATCTTGGCTGGACCGTCTCAAAGCCGAGTACACCTGGTGTGTTGTATTAATAAATAGCCCCTTATGTATCTAAGTTTTAAGGACCCAGGCACAGCTCGGGCTGTCCCTCAGGTGCGATGAGTGGAGGTAGCTTGGAGCTCAACAGAGGCGATCAAGTCTCTCAATCCACCCTCACACGAGCCACTCTCCAGCTGGATTCCCGGCGTTCACATTATTGCAGCATTGTCTGATGTCTGTAAAGTCGGCTCATGGGTGTTCGGCAAGTCCCCATTTGCAGTGGTGAGGCTCTCATAAGTACTCTGATCACTCTTGTATTGATCCCCCACGAGGACAAAAGTATCGCTGGCAGGATCAAGCAGATATTGATACAAAAGACCAGCTCGACAACCTACGTAGTGCTTGAAGCTTTTGAAGTCAGCTCCGCACGCCATGCGGTCTTTGATATGCCGGTTCTCCGCCTCCACCAAGGAGAGAAATCTTCGATAACATTGCTGGCAAAGGTGCGTGGAAGTTGTTGAATTGCTACCAGGTTATTCTGACGAATATGTAATCACTCAGGATATTCATTTTATCGTAAATGTGCACCATGATTGTCTATACGCGGGATGCTCGGCAACAGGTTCTCGTCCTCGAATGCAGGAACGTGAAGCATCCGGGGTCAATGAACAGTTCATTGAGCACAAGGATGTAGAGCGGTATATAATTAATATGCATGCGTTGCATAACGCGCATATGCTTTGCACCATCCTGCCTCGTGCATTGGTTGTGCCTGTCCCTTATATTCAAGACCGCTACGAAAGTCACAAGAAGTTCGTCGAGCCCTTACGGCAGGCATGCAATGAGAAGCAGAAGAAGCTCGAGGCCGAAAGGCTGAAATGAGCCGCAGAGAAAGCAGCAAAAGCGGGCAAGACTGGTACAGCCGCCGCACAGGGCTCGAATGTTGCCAAGTCACAGTCCCCGGAGGTGGGGCATCAAGGTGACGCTGAGCTGGGAGAGCAGGATAAACATCGAGAGCCTGCCGACCTAGAATTCATAATGGAGCATGAGATAGGAGATAATCAGACAGTTGTCTCTCCCAAGGGTGCGGTGTATGGTGAAGTACAATTCATCATGGAGGATGGTCTTGACCCTCCTAGGCCATTCAAACGGCAGAGAGAGGATCACACTTAGTACATTGTACCGATAGTACAATATATATGTTACTTCTACTCGGTACATACATTGAGAGGGAGAACCCCGCGGGATCACTGAGACAAAGTGCAGTGTGCTACACAGACCTCGTCCACAGGTCCCGCAGGTGTGGCACACTCATGTGGCATCGGAAGGGTCTCACGCACAGCATGAGTAAGGTACATGTGCCAACCCGGTGCGCGGACAGCCCATGCCACATGCGGCTGTGGCTTCCCTACAGAGGGGCACTCCACGTGCACAGCATCTGTGCTAGACTTGGTGGTGTAGTACTGCACAGCATGACTGATTAGCCTCAGTGGCCAAATAAAGTCAGGAACTTGCACAAAAATACTTGGAAATTCCAAATATATTCCTGTAACTGGGTGTGGTATTATAAGTACTATTGATAGCACTTGACAGCATGACTCATTAGCCGGACTTGGGAAATAAATTTAGAAAATGATATCAAGTGAATAGTTTAAACTCTGAAAGGGTTTCCCACAGTAAGCATGCTGATTCTGAACTCTAATCCTGCAGTGGGTCACTACTTTTGCAGGTATTGTCGCAAGTCCTGGAGTTGGATATGGACTCAACTTGTAGATTGAATATACCTGTTAAAATGTTGCATCACTGGAATATACACTTCCATTGGGCTATTTCTGGATCTGTTATACCAATTCAAGCCAGTTCTGATGTAGTAAACCTGTAACTCTGACCAAAACTAGAGTTTTTCTATGTTGTACTTCATTATAAGTCCTGGAGAACAAAGGAAGAGTCTTTACTGGATCTGCACCAAACAATGATGGTTGTGGGAATGCAAGTGCCAAGATGCTGCAGGAGTAAAATGCTGCAAGAACCCATAGATCCTGGTGATCCATGCTTGCAGTTCCCTTTAAACAGCCATAACTCTGTGATGCCCAATAACTCATAGATTTTCAGAGGTCATAACCCATAATCTCGTATACTTAGCCAATAACCAGTGAAGCCAACTTGCAAGTGGGTATCACCACTACTGTGTACAGTGTGAAATGCTATTTATGTTCTGGGTGTGTCCCAAAGTGTTTCTTGGACCTCACATTTGAGCTCGAACGACATCACAATTTTGCGAGCTGAGATTGATCCACTGTTTTTATGTTACAGCAATGTTTAACTGGACTCCAATCGACATCAAACCAGGGCTTCGGGAGGCTCCCAGGCTGACCTTCCCAAAACAGTTTCCCAGGATGGGCGTGTAGGCAAGGGGCATCGCCTGGAGAATTCCGTGAACCCGACTACCTCGACCACCTCTGATCGGCAGTCATGGGGTCCCGCTTGCATAATCACCTCTCATTGGTCAGGAGGTGCTCTCGCAGCGATGGTGATTGCACGGCGACCTTGGATTAGATAAACCAGGCTGTTTTCAATGCTCCTAGAACACAGAAAAAAGAATACAGACACTAATGAATGATTCAGTGCTTTACTTTCTTTGCTTGGACATCTGTTGTAATAGAGTGTGTATTGTTCCTCTGTAAACTCTCAACTATCTCTTCACATGCACCCATATCTGATATCTCATGCTCTTCCCATCAGCTTTGGGTGTTGGAATTTCGGGGTTATCAATTGAGCTTGCCAGCTCGCGCGCTATAGGATGGGGCTGCCATAGGCAGTCGTAGCAGGTGAATGATTATGCGGAAATCGTATATAGTCACTGTATCTACTTGTTGTATGGTGTGCGATTGCCCCTTCGGGCAACCGACCACCTGGGGCAAGCGTGCTCGTTTTCTGTTTGCCAGGATTATTTCAACATTGGGTGCTCTCTTGGGTGATGTCCATGTGTGGCTCCTCCACCGGTGAGACAAACATATCAATCAGTTAACCAGCAATGCAGGAGGGATCTCCAATGCTCTCTCGCTGCCAATGTCTCATTTCCACAGCGGCGTGATCTAATCTATGGTTGGTGAAATCAAAAGATTGGGGGTGTTACTCACTGCCATGCATGATAATGCTAATGAGCAGAGTTTGAATATGCACCGTAATAGGCAGGATCGCGTGGGCAAGTTTGCATCATTGTATAGCGGGGCAGTCAGGGTAGTAATTGTGTCCGTAGTACAAAAGACTATCTCATGTGTTTCCGCCTTCAATTAAGTAGTATTTCTGAGGAGTAGCTGCGTGATAATCTGGGGTACTGTGTGGTTTGCTCCAGTGGACATCGAGATTTGCCGGCCTACAGTGCAACCTCTGCACATTAGCATGGGTGACCTCTCGGTCGAGCTACGAATGCACAAAAAGCATTTCAAGCTTATTAGAAGGTATTTTATTAGCAGGTATTAGATGTATACAGGCTGCTATTCAATGAGCTAATCTACAATATATCTCCAGGCTCCGGGTGTTGTGAGCATGATCCAGGATCAGCTACCCGTGCTAATGAGCGCGGTTCGAACCGTGGGAATCGCTTCGACCACCCCTCGACTCTGTGTTGGTTCTAGAGGAATTGGAAGGCTATCAGATGCTAATACAGCCATACAGTATGGTATATCATATTTGTGCAACCATAATTCTGGTAAAACCTCGGATGACGAGTTGGGCCAGCTGTCTCAGAGCATCCTCATCCTCACTAGTCGTCTTAATTAGGAAACACATCTATAAATAAGTTGCATTATATAAGCCCTATTACATAGCATCTTCACATACGCCCTAGCAGGGAGGATAGAGGACACGGAGACGGATGGTTCTAGGAGCCTGGGTCAGAATATTGATGTTGCACTTGCCACTTGTTCATACACGGATCTAACCGCAACGTATAGCGACGCTAGTTACCTCGACTGTACTTCGTTGGTCTCGTCGATTCTCGACTAGTGCTCGAGTGAGAGCAACAAATACCAGGCATCCCCCAGCTGGTACATTCAGTTTCATAGATGTTGCAAAGAAAATACAGGAGGAAGGTTTCGATTGGTACAGTCTGAAAATCTACTACCCCATCCGTATCGGCGAGGTCTTCCAGTCACGTTACGAAGTGCTGACAAAATTGGGCTACGGAAGGACCCCTGAAAGTACCAATGGAGGTTAGATACCAGAGAACCTGATTTGCTTCATTTTTACCGGGACCGAATTTTGCCTAATTTGGCTGTTTTTACCGGGACGCGATACCAACCTAGCCGTGTGGCTCGAGATTTACCGGGACTCAGATATCCAACCTCTGAATTTTGATCCGGTTACAAGGGTTTTTCTTAGCCAAATTTGATCAAAATAAGGCATTATTCGCTACAATATGCCATATATAGGCCCAATGTTGCCAAAACAGTGCAATCTCAGCTCAAATATTGATTGGGGCAAATTGTGGCCGCACAAGCGAGTGATTGAGTGCCGGGAGAAGCCGGGTATATACCACAATGGTATCTGACCTTGGATATCGAGCCTCAATTCTACCGGGACTGAAGTATCCGGCCTCTTGGGCGCTTCGCCACATTTTACGGCAACCGTATCTAACATACGGCCTCCAGACCTCACTTTTTTACGGAATCGGTATCTAACCTCCATCGGTATTTTCAGGGGTCCTGCTACGGAATGTCCGCTGCCGTCTGGCTCGCGCGTGATCTCGTGTACGTTGGCTGCATCATGAGCGAGAGTCCGATATGCTGAAAGTATCCGCACCGGGGCGTCTTAGGGATCATAGATACGTAGCGCTCAAAGTGTGTATAAGCGATTATCCTAGCGTTGCGCGCGAAAAGGGCGCTTATAATCGCTTACGCTCACTTCGCGAGTCACCACTCATCCAAAAATGCTGGGACAGCTTCACGATACAAGGCAGAGAGGGTGCTGTTCATGAATACCTCGTGCTCGAGCCACTCTGTTCAAATCTAGCCTACTTTGGAAAGCACGTCGCTTCGGGATGGGAGAATCTTGAGTTATTCCGTGCTACGGCCACGCTCGTTTTCGACGCTCTAAGGTTCCTCCACACCGAGGCTCACCTGATTCATTGCGGTGAGCTGCATTGTCCGGTATGACATTTCTTCACTTACCCAGTCCTCACAGACCTCCGCGAGGAGAACTTCCTCCTGAGAACGGCTAGTGATGGTGTCTTTCAAGCATTAGAAGAGTACGAAGCTAGGGAACCATCCCCGCGCAAAGTCGACGGCGAGCATGTAGTGCACACTACCTCGGTTGCGATGTACCCGGACGACATCACGGGCATTGTGCTGACGGACTTTGGCGAGACCCGTCCTGGGGATGCTTCGACGCTTTACAACGACGACATCCAGTCATTGCCATACCGAGCGCCAGAGGTTCTGTTGGACATACCTTTCTGGTACCCTGTTGATGTATGGAACGCCGGCGTTATGGTATGTGGCGCCGTCACTTCATTACGCTCAGCCCCATGTTCAGGCGCCTTCCTTGGCAGCTCTGGCACATGTTCGAGGCAAAGCCCCTTTTTCATCCGTTCACTTCGAAAGGCGAACCGTGGAACGTGCTTCACCTGCGGCAGATGGTGAACGTGATGGGGCTGCCTCCGTTACGCCTGCTTGAGCGATCTATCAACCCGGAGTGGATCCACAAGCAGTATTTCGATAGGGACGGGCAGTGGATCGGTGTTATCCCCGTCCATTCGGATAGGGGGCTGGAATGGCGGGAGAATCGGCTGCACGGCGAGGAGAGGGCAGAGTTCTTGCGCTTCATGAGGAGATGCTTGCAGTGGGAGCCGGAGAAGAGAGCCACTGCAGCTGAACTATGTGAGGACCCGTGGCTCAAACCCGCGACCGAGGAGACTGTTGAAGCACGTAAGTCATGACTTGTGACAGGCCTTATGGACCCATGGTCTCGAAGGTTCCACAATCCCGAGCTTAGTAGAGTGAGCGGCTCACCCGTGCTCCGCATACAGAGCCCATAGATTGTTATTGACTTCCCCCACTCATTTTGGTGTCCACCTACCCAGCTCATTTGTATGGCACGTCCACACTTAGATACCGCTCTGCTTATATACCTTCTACCCTATCCGCAGGCATGTCGTGTCCGTAATCCATCCTCGCTCACGTGGATATCTGTCTGTTGCATATTCGGGAAGAGGTGCAATATGTGCAACAGGAAGGGCTTCATTAACGGCTTACGCAGCAGTGTTCTGCGTCTCTAGTTCAGCTTCATCCTCATCAGTGAGATCACTCAGCTCCGACAACTCCGCCTCCTTAACCTCCACATCATCTTGCGCCTTCCTCTTCCTTGCTGCCATCTTCACCTTCGTCGCTTCCTTCTTCCTCTCCATGGCCACACTAGCCTCCTTAACGACCGCCCTGATCTCCTCCGTCCAGCCCGCGAGCACCTCCTCGTCGGGATGAGGGAGGGTCGAGAGGCGGTTGAGCACCTCCAGCTCCTTCTGCCACACTGCGACATCGTCGTACTGCGGTGTTTCCATCACAAGTGGGAGCCCGCGCGTGCGGGGATCGGTGAGGATGTGATGGAAGGTTCTGAGGCCGAGGAAGCCGCTAGGTGTGCATGAAATGAGCTGCAGAGCGAGGAGGGGGGACAGAGAAGGAGGGCGTACAGTCCGATATTCTCGTGGCGGTCTTTCATGGAGCCCAGATCGCATTTGGAGTCGTTGAGGTGCATGCCTCGGAGGAATTGCATGCCTACTTCGGCGTCGAACTCGTCCACTGAGAGATAAAGCTTAAAAGTCCGACAACATTTCGAGGGATCATAAACAGCTTACTCATTGCGCTGGTCGAGTGTTAGTGTTACCGGCGGTGGATACGAGGGAACGCTCACCGCCAGCCGTCCTTGGTCCTGATGTCATAGCCCTACATGATCGCATTGAGGCGCGTGAGCTCACACATCAGGCATTCAGACACGTACGGCAGCAAACATATGACCTTCGATGATACATGCGCATTAGATCTACTCGCAGCAGGCAGCGATATAAGTACCTACAAGTATCAAGGCACACCCCAACCCGGCTCTTATCCTTCACCTGCTTGATAATCCCACCGAGGTCGGAAAACGCAGAGCCGATCACATTGCCTGCACCCGCCTTGAAAGCATATCATCAGGTCGCTTTTATGAGTCACTTGACAGATGCCACACCATATTTTCGATGACGGTAACGACGGACTTCGTCTCTTTGTGTGCGCGGTTTAAGCATTCTGCGATGTACCCGAGGGATGTATCCATCGGCACGGCGCCGACGGTCGAACCTGGACTTGGGTACGCCTACGTCAAGGTAACGTGACGAAGAGATAGTCAAACGGGCATGCCTACTGGAAATTGTATAGGAGGAGCCCGAGCTCCTCACATCGCTGGAGCTCTTCCAAGAAGCATTCATAGGCCTTCACGCGTTTACCTCTGGAGCGACGTCGTCAGGTCGACACCGATTAAGGCAGAGCGAGACTTACTCATCGGGGTTGCCCAGGTTTATCAGGTAGCTCCCATGCGGAAGGATGTCCTGGGGAGAGTAGCCCAAGCTGCCGAGCCGCAGCTTGAATTTCGCTATAGACTCTTCTGTAAGCGCGGGCCCTGTCCATTTGCGCTGGGACTTAAGGAATAGTGCGAACGAGTTAGCCCTGCATATCGGAAATGAGATATCTGTGCACGAAGCGGGAGAGAGACTGAATGTACCGTATTCTCGCTGCATTGACGAGCGTATTCTCAACACCTCCGGCAGCGGAGACGTGGGCACCTAATTTCCAGTCGCTGACCGGTCGGGGTGCAAAGTCGGAGAGAGAAGGTTCGGGCTCAGGTTCGGCTTTCTTCTTCTTGCCTTTACGTTTACGTTTTGTCTCTGATTATTAAAGTCCAAGCGTCCACTGAGCACATGCATGCGCTGATCCCCGCAAACACCTACCCTGGATATCTGTATCCTCGTCCTCCTGCGGCAGAGTTTTCTTTTCAGACTTCCTTTTTCTTAAGGAACTGCCAGTCTCTTTGGCTAATCGGCGTGTTAAGCCGCTCGAGTAGTCAAGCAAAGCAGACCCACCGACCTGTCACACCGTTCACTCCTTCCTCTGCTTCAGCCACCTCCACTTTCGCCCGCTTAGCCGCCCTTCTCGGGACGCCGTCCACCCTCCTATCCTCTGCTACGGCGGTGGACTTGCTGACCGTCCGGACTCGTCGCAGAGGAGCGCTAGGTGGGGTCGGGCTATGAGACACGGTTTGTGTTATTGCAGCGGCTACCAGACGCGTACTCCTTCGCAGCATGCTCGAGGACGATTCAGGATCAGACATGTGATATTTCCATGGATTACGCCTGCAACCACGAGAAGCTTGCTAGATAGAAGCAGAAGTCTGAAAGGACAAGATATGAAAGAGAAATGCAAGTTCAAGTTGCCTTCGAGTCTCTTCGGGTTCTCCAAGGACACCACGTGATCACGACGCGTTCGTCACAGTGTGACTAGTACCAACGCCACAATCCTGGACTCGGAAGCTGGGCATTGGCTATCACCCGTCCATTTTGCAGAGCTGCGGTCTATCATTGACAAAACATAGAGCACTCAGGATTGTCAGGGTATAGGGGATAACGTCGTCGTTGTGCAATTTAAAAGTATGGTACCAATCTAGCTAAGATGTACAACATAGTATATCCAGGGAATGTTCAATGCGGGTTCCGTGTATGTATGATCAGTGTTATGGACCTCCGTGTATGCGGTGGGATATCCCATGTCGTGAAGTTCGTGCCGAGTCATCTATACCTGCCTGACGAACTTCCTCACTATATCGAGGAGCGGCCTCCGCCGCGACGGTGTATCAAAGACAGTCGAGTGATCCAGCCCTTTGTAGAAGAGCACCTCCCACTTCCCCTTCTTCCACCGGAACTGCTCCTCCGCGCCGTCGGTGAGGTACCACCGTACCTCGCCCGCGTCGACGATCTGGTCCTTCTCCGCGAGGACGACCGCGACGTCCTTGCCCTCCAGCTCGTCCTTCCACAGGATGCTCTCGCCCCAGAAAAAGTGGCGCGAGAGCGTGCGCGCGATGTCCGGGTCGCGCGAGGCGAAGTACCACAGCTGCCACTCGTTCGCCTGCTTGGGCGTGCGGTAGAGGAAGTTGAACGACGTCGCGGGGAGGTGCAGGAGGAACGGGATCGGGTCGACGAGCAGGCACGCGGCGATGCGCGGGGCGAGGAGGGCGGATTTGAGTAGGTGCGACGTGATCACGGTGCCGTAGGAGTGCGACACGATGGCGAAGCGGTAGATGTCGACGGACGCGAGGATGTCGTCGATCGCGCGGCAGGTGGCTTTGCGCGTGAGAGGTGGGGAGGTGATGCGCATGCTGATGGGGAGAATCTCGATCGCGAGGATGCCGACGTCGGGGTTCTCGCGGACGAGCGCGGCGAGGAAGGGGAGGTACGGCCAGAAACCGATCTGAAAGGGTGTGAGTGAAAGGAAGGGGTTGGTCACGAGAGACTTACCCCGATGCCATGGATGAAGAGGACGGGAAGTTTTGTTTTACTCCGGTGTGGGCGGTACCAGAAGGACATCTGAGGGTGTATCGATTTGCGCGAGAATACGGTGAGGGGTCTAGGAGGGAAGGCACCGAACCAGCGATGTGTCGCGTAGTGCTTGAAGCCCAGTGACGCTAGCCTCAAGGATGAATAGGTATCTATAAATCCGACGATCTGCGAATAATTTAGACCCGGGCAATGCACAGAGGTTACAGACTCACGCACCATGTACCAGACCAATGGTCTGTGTACCATCATAACCGGGTCCAAGGTCGTCCGCATGCTCATGACGCTCGGGTTGCGCCCGGGGTCAAACCGCTGCCCGATAGCCTTCTCGAGCTGCTGGACATACTGCTCGAGCTCTGCCTCCCAGTCCTTCAGCTTGTCCTGGCCGGTGCAGTGGAAAAAGGCCCAGAGCAGCCACTCCATGACGTTCTCGCGCTTGATGTCGTTGAACGCGCAGGAGAAGAACCAGCCGGTGGTGTGCGCGGTGTTGCGCAGGTGGGTGCAGCACCGCTCATAGTGCATGCGGAGTTCTTCGCGGTCGAGCAGAGGGGGGTGCTGGGCGGGCTAAGACATATTTGTTAGCACCCTGTTTTCGGTATAACGCGGTGCAACTCACCCTCTGCAACAGACGCTTCCGGGGTAAGTAAACAAAGAGGAAAAATGAGGCTTCCGCGAGGGCGTAAAAGCCGACATATTCGTTGATTAGAATGGATTTATAGTACCATGAAAGTAGGAGGTACAGGATGGACAGAGGGGCGACGGAACGCAGGAGGAGGATGCAGAGCCTGATGAAGATCCATTCGGACCTGCTTTGGCCAATCATCCGAGGTTCCGACCAAGGCCTTCTTCAATTATCGTCGCCAAAGTCGTTAGGCGCCCGCTGACGGAGACCCGCAGTACAAACTCCGATTGTGCTCCGCCGGACGGCGCCGGCACCGTTTGCGACGACGCGCACGGGCGTCTGTTCATCGTCGCCTTCGTCACTCGCACCATCCACTGACTCAAAAGACTGGAAAATGGCGAAAAAGAAGAACAAGGCGGTAAAGCTCATTCGCCGTGCTGTTTTGACTGCTGGCTGATGTTTACCAGGTTCTCCGGCCTTGGTGCTGGTATTGTGAGCGCGAGTTCGAGGATGAGAAAGGTGGGTGTCTGGCCCAACACATGTGTTGTCTAGTACGCTGACTTTGGTGCCCAGTTCTAATGCAACACCAGAAGGCCAAGCACTTCAAATGTAGTATGTGCCCACGTCGTCTGAACACAGCCGGTGGCTTGGCCGTGCACATCCAGCAGGTCCACAAGCTCGAGCCCGACCAGTACGTACTTCATCTCGCAAGGTCTTCAGTCGCTTACCAGCCGCCTCAGGCTTCCCCGAATTGAGAACGCGCTGCCCGGCCGCGATGGCTACGAAGTCGAGATCTTCGGTATGGAGGGCATCCCCGCCCCCGACGTCGCTGATTACAAACGCCGGAAGGAGATCGAGCTCGGCCTCGCCATCGGCTCCATATCCCAGCCCCCAGCGAAAAAGCCAAAGATCGAGAACCGGCCGCTGTCCGAGGACGAGCTCAAGGCGCAGCTGGAGGCGCACAAGGCACTCATGGGCGCCAGCGAAGGCACGTCCGCGCCCCCACCCGCTGACGCGTCCGCCGCCACGGCTGTGTACAACGCCGCCCCGCAGACGTATGCGACGCCCCCAGTGCCGGCGGCCCCGCCAGTGCCACCGCCAATGGGCATGTCGCCGCCGCCTGGCATGTCCCCTCCTCCTTTCTATCCAGGCGCCCCTCCACCCGGCTTCCCTGGAGCCCCTCCGTTCATGGCTCCGCCCCCCGGCGGTCCCGGATTCCCCCCAGGGTGAGTATCATTCTCTATCAACCCCGCCGTTTGCTCACCTTCTCCCAGCCCACCGCCACCAGGTTGGTCCCCGCCGCCCGGCTTCCCGGGGCCGCCGCCTCCCGGTATGCTCCCCCCAGGTGCGCCGCCCTTCCCAGCAGGTGTTCGCCCGCCGTTCCCCCCTCCCCCAGCTTTTGTCCCGCCTGGTGCTCCCATGCCCTTCAGCCCGCCGCACCCCGGCGCCGCCTCCCCTCCCCGCATCCCTGCTCCCACCGCTGTCCTTCCTGGAGCCCCCGGTGTGCTCAATATGCCGCCTGGCGGGTCGCCAGCCCCGCCGCCTCCGCCCTCGGCGTCGCCGTTCACACCTGGGAACGCCCATGCGTCCAATGCGCCGCCCGCAGAGCTTAAGCTGCCTAACCCAGCCCTTGCACAGACAAACCCTCCGTTTAAGAAGCCGACTGTGCTCAAGTACGCTGATCCTAACTTCTCACCCGTATGTATATTCCCCATGTCGAGGAGTTGAGTGCCTGTCGCTGAGGTATGCCGTTCTAGGATGAGAAGCGTGCTGTGCACCCCAAATATCGGTACGTGCCGGATGGGTCGGAGAACGCCGCCGATGGGAACTCGGTGCCGGAGGAGGCCCGAGGCAAGAAGCGTGCCAGGGCAGAAGACTTCTTGTAACCGTTTCCTTATCTATTCCGCGCTCTGATGGGGTCGTAGGCAGGGGCGTGGAGCGTCGGAGGTGAAGGGTGTAGAGGACATTCCAGGGAGACTACCAGTCCGTCCCTCTATCTCTGCTAGCGTTCGCGCGTTCCGCTGCTTATTTCTCTCACCCCCCAAGCTCTATGCTACTATGCCCTTTATGCGTACGGTACGAGGACTTCTTCTGTCTCTGCTCCTATTGTAAATGTACGTACGGTCGGTCTTTTCTTTGTTATTTACTGCTCGCGAGCAAAGGTCGGTCGTGAAATGCATCATGTCATATTGCGTCTCGTTGCTAGCCACTCAAGCCCCTGAATCGTGTCTAATAGCTTTAGCTATATCTCCCATGGACGGGACATTCAGAACAGAGCAGACATAGGCATCTCAAGCACCTGTCGGTCTTGAACTCCTTTCACGATATGATACATTCACTAATTGCATTCTACTCAGGTAATAATAGTACATGTCGATGGAAGTTGTGAGTGGCGTGTTTGGTATCGTCTATGACCATAGAATATAGCATATAGAATGCGAGAAAGCCTCTTAACAAATCAGTCGCTTGCATGTTGGGCGTTATAAAGCTCCCAGTACTCCCCACCGACCCCCATCAACTCCTCGTGTGTTCCCCTCTCGACGATCTTGCCGTCCTTCATGCAGCTACGGGCAAAGTCAGTACGTGAAACTACACGATTGATATTTTATTTACAGGATCATGTCCGCGCGCTTGGCCAACTGCGCGAAGCGGTGGGACACGACGACGACGGTTCTGCCCTTGCTGGAGTTTCGAAGTTTCGTGCAAAAGTCCAGCTCGGCGACTGGGTCCAGCGCAGAGGCTGGTTCGTCGACGAGCAGGAGCCGTACGTCGGAGTGTTCCAGTCGGACGATTGTACGAGTCCTACACAATTCATCAGCGATTAAATAACAAGAACTGCGAGATTGCTCCTTACAATGCGAGTCGCTGTGTTTCTCCGCCTGAACGAGGTGAGCAAAGGAGAGCCATCCGTGAAAAGGGACAACTTACGCGACAAGGTTGGGGCCGGCCGGAAATGCTTCAGATATTCTTCGTTCAACTGTGGAGACAAATCTGTTTCGCTGGTCCCATCCAGCGATGACGCTGCAAGCCCGCGATACGAGGTAACTAACGGACCCATTAGGGTGTCAAAACCGTCTCGGAGTGACCCGACTAGGTCCGCGATGCCAGCCTCTTTGACTGCGCGCGCGAGCGAGGCCTGGTCCGGCGGCTGCGCCAGTCCGATCTGCAGATTCTCTCGCAGAGAGAGCGGATATATCTGCGGCTCCTGCGGTACCCTGTATATTGCTTGCCGAAGGTCGTCCTCTCGGAAGGAACGCAAAGGGCAGTCGTCCAAAAGAAGGTCTCCCGACGTAGGCGTATAGATCCCGGACATAAGCTTCAGCAGCGTGGACTTGCCGCTGCCGTTTCTCCCCACAATGAGGGTCAATGAGCCTGGAAGGAAGTCGCAACATATCTCTCTTAGGATAGTTCTTGGTTTATTCGAAAACGCATCATAAGCGGGATAGGCGAAGGAAACGTTGCTGCACTGGCCGATCAGCATGAATTGCGCATACCCATGCACAGCGCTCACCGCATTGACAAATTCGCCCCTTCTGTTGAACGTGTACCGGGATAAGGGAGATTGCCTGTGCCGCCTGACCTGGGCATATTCACCGCAGAGTACAAGGCATTCGCAGACGACACTGCTCGTCGGAAGGCGAGGCATATGTCATCGCACTGAAAGCCGCCTCGTAGAGAATTATTTGCCTGCCATAGAAGAAGCATACAGGTCAAAGATGTTGGAGTGAACATCCATATCTCTTGGCAAAAGATGCAAAGCTAGCAACATATGTTCAAAACGTCCTACCCGCCCAAGACCAGAACTCACCAGAGGCAATTCCACCAGGATCTGCTGCCATACGGTTACATACCACGGCCATGGAATAGAGAATCTGAGGTGCGAAGGATCATTCTTCCCGACTCCTAGAGCATTACTTTCACTTCGATATTCTAATACAACCCGCAGCCTCGTCATTCAACTCCTCATTCCGATACGGACAGCTTACCTTGTCTCACGTACCTAGCCCCGCCTTCAGAAACGAGGCTTTCTCGTATTTCTAGCCCGAATGCGATCCTGTACAAGAGACTTAGTCTCTTATAGTGAGGGTTCTCAGAGTAGAATACATATGCTGGTCGGACACGGTTCAGCGTCTAGGACAAAGAAGACATACACTGGCTAGTACTTACGCTTTGAAGACGATCCATGCGAGTTACGAAAATAGCGCAATGCGATATATCCGAAAATTACCAGCGGGCACGTTCCTGGGTTGAGCCCATCGTCTCGCAATATTATCCAGAAAATGACGACTATTTGCGCGAGGGCGTTGAGGACGCTCGCGAGTATTCTGCATCCTTCGCTTAGAGCTTCCCATCCGGGGGCTGCGTCTTCAAACAGGTATTCTCTGGGAAATGAGCCTGACACGGCGGGATCTACTACACGTTCGGCGCTATGTTATATCGCGAGACGCTCAAATAAATAACGTACCCTGCAGTGTCTTCATATCCAGTGACACAGTTGCTTTCGTGATTCACTCTCAGCCTTCATTGTACATCGTTAAGAACGCGAGACCTACCATCGACCAGTCGAGGTAAGAAATGTATGCGTAGGTGGCTTCGTAAGAGGGCAGTCGTATCTTGACTAATATTCTTTCAGTCAGAGAGTAGCGATACGAACTCTCATAGCTACTCACACCAGCCAGTCAATAGCAGTCGTGATTATGCTCAGCATTGTCCATGTCAAGAAGATCAACTTCACTCCGAGATGGTCTGGCGTTCCTAACGCAATGCCTGCAACGACCTGCGAGAGGGTGAGTGCCAACGTATAACCAAGTACAAACGACGTACTAGTTGCAGCAGGACATTCAACGTATAAAGCGAAAATAACGGAGGGAAAGCGCCCCATATTGTGGCGAATAGATGAAGGAGGAGAGGGATAGGTGCAAGCTTGAAAGTCTCGCAAAACAACGTTATTACTGCCTGGGAGTCCGCCGCAAATTCTGGCACGATCTTCGGCGACAGCCTTGGGCACCAGTAGCGAGTGGTATTCAAGTCGTATACGATTGTAAATATCCCCCAAGTGAACTCGCGCATGCCTTGGTTTGAGGCTTCCTTGCCATGGTGACCAGGGGGGTCGGACGAGTTAACGAACATCGCGTCGAGCTTCTGAGACATGGGGATTCCTGTGGTACTGTGGCGTCGTGACCGGATGGATCGAGAAGGGCGTTATAAATCAAAACGCCCATTGGTTGTGGCGGAGGTGCCACTGTGGCACCAAGCGTCTTCTGGTATAGATGAGTGGCACTAACCGGTTCAGAAGAGGTGTAATTGCCCTATTCCTGCTATTCGCTGCCACCAATCTGGCGCCCACCATAGTTAAGTTGCTAATGTAATATGCAGCCGGGTTGTAGGCCCCGAAGGGCGCAAAGCGCGCCTACAATCGGCAGGACATAGGAAACAGGGGCGATGCGAGCGATGCCGAATAAGACGGGGCGTATCCGTTGTCACACCTGTAATAAGGATTGATTATACGTTCGCAGGATATCGCACCTAGTTCAGGTCCTCAGTGACTTCTGTCTGGAATTGCGCTCGAAATTGCTGCATCATTATCTCTGCAAGACTTGCAATGCATGTGGGAAAGATAGCGGTGTCATTGTCAAGCGTGTTCCGGTGAGCGACTCCATGAGACAGACTCCTGGCATGTCCTAAGATGAGTAGTACGGAAATGGTCCTGCGGATACGGGTGTGCAGCAGTTCGGTGGTTACCCGTTGCCGTGCTTTGTCGTTACAGGTATCGCCAGCGCCGCATAGCGGTGCATGCTTCAGACGAGGACTGGGAAGGCGACACGGCTAGAGTGAACAAACGCGTCCCCAGTAGCACCGACAGCGAATAAAGGCGATCTGTATCTTCCGATTTGAGCGGCATACCTGACTAAAGCTGAGGATCAGCGGTGGACAGCGCCATTTTTTGGCGGGTACCGGGATTAAGTCGGGAGCTGAACATTCAACCAGGACGCATTGTAGCAGCACACACCAAGCGACAGACAGCGGAGATCGTCCTCCTTCCGCGAGCGGAACATGACATTTGAAGAGAACACCTGGGCCAGAGAATAATGGCAGACGCTATCCATTAAGTCGGTGGGTGGGTCCAATACCCAGGGGTAACAGTTTAAGACTAGAACAAGAATGGAAAATAGCAACCGGACTTGATGTCGCTCCCGAGACGCCCGAGACGAGGGCGTTGAACAGTCAGTCAGTAAGGACCGTCCGACCTGCACGCACCTGCCATTGGATAGCGCATATGTGCATCATACAGCATCGCGGGATGCCACGATATATTCTTTGTTAGATTTCGGAAATGGGATAAAACGGTTGAGGGTTATATGTAGCATGGCACAAGACAACAAGTGGGTCCCCATGCGCCGACAATTCTTCGTTCATGGCAATCTCCGAGGGCGTAAACGTTCCATGCCAACGGTCCTGCTGCTCTCCCTGGCTCATGAAACTCCCGCGTCAGGAGCTACCGGCTATAACGGGTCAGTTGTCATGCGGTGATACTTTCATTCATTCTCAAGCACGCACGTTTCAGCGAGCCAAACGCCTATTTTCGCCCATATATCCTCCTGCTGTTCTCTCCATTCCTGCCTCTTCAGCGCCGCGCACTCGGCGCACAGGCCCTCCGCCTCCCAGTCAACGTCGATGATATTCTGCAACGTCTCAAGCGGCTTCCCTACGCCGCCATTCTCCAGCGCTGGACCGATGACGAGCGGCATCCATTTATCCGCGAAGGTATCTGTGCACGGCATGTGTTCAGCGGTCTCAACAGTAAATAGGATGGGCGTGAAGTGCTCCATGATGCTGTTCATTAATTTCTTCGCTCGCTCCTTATTGGCAGGCGAAAGCGGTCTGCTGTCGAGAGGTACGCTTTCGTTGGCCGGGGCTGCGGCCGTGACAGCCTCGCCCATCCCAGCTTCTTCCTCGTCGTGGAGTTCGGATGTTGTTACTATACTGTAGAAAAGACCTCTCTGAACCTATTCGAGGATGATTTGATGACAAAGCCCCTACTGTAAGAATCGTAGTCCTTACCGATTCAATATTGTGCTCTACGGCTAATTCGAGAGCTTCCTCTATGTTGTCCGGATGCACGAATGGTTGCGGACCGCTCGGGTAGAGCTCCTCAAAGCGTTTCCGGGCTATTGAGTATATCGAGGGAAAATCCAACTGTTTGCTCGATGCCACGCGCAGTACTGCGGCAGTGCGGGCAAACGGAGCGTCTGTGTCCAGGGGCCTTGCGAGAGGCTTGGTCAACGGAACATGCAGATCTCGTCTGACAATAAAATTTCCGCAACTTACGCATCATGGTACAGGTGCTCCAGCAATGTCTGAAAGTCATCCGAAGAGACGCCACGATCGATTGGAATCGAAAAGACCGCACACCCCTCGACTTCCTCCGAGGCCGGTCGATTGTTTTCTTCAGAGTTCCAGGTTCCAGATGCGATAAAGGGCGAATTTCGTTGTAACAGTGTCCGGTGGACCTTGAAACCCGTGTCTTGTATTCGGACGACTAGAGATCCGTCTTCCAGCCAGTAAGTCGGATGTCGCTTGAGACTTGTGGTTGTATATCCTGAACTAGTTGCAATATCACCGTTAACGACTGACATATTTGATGTGAGGGCAAGAGCTAAAGTTCTCCAAGGTGCCCGGCGCAGGCAGCGTTCAAGCATACTGATCGACGCTTACAACTTCGATAAGGTTTGTAACATCGGCTGTCGGGCCGCTACGCTTCCCTGGGCGGGAGCCAATCATATCGCATAGAATTACCTGCATCCAAGGGCGTGTACAGTCACATTTAGAGGATCCATTAATTTCTCAGGTTTCGTAGAATATATTGTCTTTTGTCTAACATCATTGGCACTACGAAATATGAATATATTCTTCTTCTACCAGGCCCAAACCGCCTGGTGGGATCATCGGGACGCTCGCAGTGCAGACACGCGCCGAGGTCATGCAAGTCTAATTACCTCGAAAAGCCTCCACACCGACGACTTAGACCGCCGCCCACCTCGGTCACGGTCATGATCGGTTTCATAGCCGCGACACGCCCTGCTCGACCCACAAAGCCGCCCACGCTCAGTACAAGACTTTGCTCAGCCGTTGGACTGCGTTGAGCAGGATGTCACCCTGCCTGACCACGGTCTCGTACTGCGACGTCTTCACGGATGGCCGGTTGGTCTCCACAACACCGTGCACCTTGTCGATTGTGCAGTGTAGCCTGCCGGACGCGATGAATCTCGACAGCTCACTAGAAGGGACGGACCCGACCGGTCAGCAGACTGAATAATCCGGATATTAACGAGGGCCACGCACTTGTCCACAAACTCCACGCTGACACCGAACGCGGCGGCGAGGCTCTCGAGCGTGAGGCTGCGGTACGACTCGAGCAGCTGGTTGTACGCTAGTATCCGCATTTCCCGGACGTAGTACCGGGTGTGGGGGGAGAGGAGGCGCGAGGGACGGAGGTATGTTTGTTCGACCGTTGCTATAGAAAATGGCAGCCATCAGTCTCGAGTTACATACAGAACAAGAGGATGGATTTTACCTAGGGCGAGGAAGAACTTGTCGTAGTGGCATTCGTAGAGGTTCTTTGTGAGGTCGGCGAGAATGGGTAGCTCGGGCAGGACGCCGATAACCTCTGGTGCGCCGATAATCTGCGTGAAACGTTGATTCGTGGAATACCACGGACTGACATCCCTCGCACCTTCTTCTTCAGATCAGGCCGCTTCAGCGTCAGCGTATTTGCCACGACCGTCAATGCCACAAAGTCGTTATAACTGAGCAATTCCGTCGCAGTGAACGTCGAGAGTGCGTCAATGAAGAGCTCTCCACCGCGTTTGAATTGGCGAATTGATAGTAGGTGGAGGCCCTGGTAGACCTTGAGACGGTTTCGGCGGTCCCAATCGCCACCCTTCTCAGTCAATCTGTAGAGATCAAGTGAATATCGTGCGGCAACATAATATTCAGCCGGTCGAGGCCGAGGCTGCGGCCTTGAAGATGACGGAAATGTTATGTACTTACTCTTCGGCTTTCGTGAGGTTGGACGTGATGAGTTGGTAGTCGCCGAAGAAGAAACCTATCCGGACAAGAGTGAGGGCGATGTCTATCCGCGAACCTAAACCGGGAGTCTTTTCTAGTGCAAGGTTCTGCGCCTCCACCGCACGGTCCTAGACGCACTCAGCATCCGGCGTAGGCAGAGAGCCCAGTAGGTCACTTACCTTGTCACCGATCCGGGTAAAGTAGTTGGCGCGCGCGCGTAGCACGTCCGAGATTTCCGTCTCGCCCTCCGTCTTCTCCGCCTCCGCTAATCGCTCGTCGAGCTTCTCGAGCTCCTCCTTGTTCGCCTTCTCCATCGAGTCGAGAAGAGACTGGTCCAGTGGTAATGCGGATGTCGAGGTGACTATCCGGTAGTATGGAGCCATTTCTACCAGTTGCACATCCTATTTCAGCACCCTCTTCTCTGTAAAGCCGAAGGGTCACTTACGGTCGGCTTTGATGCCTTCCAGCAGCTCCTTGCGTGCCGTTTCATGTAGATGGGACAGGGAGGGCGTCGACAGGGTGAAATATTGCTGGGAAAGGTTGAGGTTGGGAATAGGTAGAACAATATCTTCAGCCATAGTTTCGAGGATTTAGGAGGAGACTAAGAAAGCAGGCAGACGCGGTACAGTACAAGTCGATTGACCGCTTCGCATGAAGGACGCGTCAGTGAGTTCCCACGGTCTCGACGCGTCACTTGCAGCTGCTTTCGCTTGCAAGTCTTTCAATCGTTCCCTCACCGCCGCTCGCCATGTCTTCGCCAGCGGATTTATTACAACAGGCCGACTCCGTCAAGAGGTCTAACCCGGCGCAGGCAGAGCAAATATACAAGCAAATTCTGAGCAGTACCTCAGGTGTGTACCGGAATGTAGTATACCGCCTTGCTCCTTTGGCTAATTGATTCGGTCTAGCCACGGCTCAGCCCGGAACCAGCACTGGCGAGAGGGATCAGTCTTTGCGGGATCAGGAGGTGTCCCTGGTAAAGCTCGGAGAGCTGTACCGAGACCAAAAGTACGTCCCAGAGTTGGATATTCTGGTTCTGAGCTCACGGCGCGCTCCAGGAATGCGGAAGGCCTGGCAGAAGTGATAACCCTCTCGAGGTCATTTATGTCCTCGACCGCAAAGGCAAAGACCGCCAAGCTCAGTGAGTAGTGACTTCAGTACTATGCCTTGCGCGCCGTGCTCACTCAAGCCACCAGTCCGCACCCTCCTCGACTTCTTCACCCCAATCCCAAACAGCGCCCAGACGCAGATCCGAGTGCTGAAGGACAATATCGAATGGGCGAAGAATGAGAAGCGGATCTTCTTGAAGCAGAGTCTAGAGACCCGTCTGGCCGGAATGTACGTGTGCCATGCCATCCTGTCCACTCATCCACTGACGGTGACGCCTCTTGCAGCTATCTCGACACCCAGCAGTTCAAGCCAGCCCTCGCTCTCATTGACACGCTCCTCACGGAGCTACGGCGGTTGGACGACAAGATGATCCTCACGGAGGTCCATCTAATCGAGAGTCGGGTATATCGCGGGACTGGTAACATGCCAAAGGCGAAGGTACGCTAGCCCGTTATGGGAACTTTGGAGACGTACTGACTCAGGTAATCGTCAGGCTGCATTGACGTCTGCTCGCACCGCCGCCAACTCGATATACTGCCCGCCACACCTCCAAGCTGCCCTCGACTTACAGTCTGGCGTTCTCCATGCCGAGGACAAGGACTACACGACCGCTTACTCGTATTTCTTCGAGTCATTCGAGAATATGGGGAATCAGGGTGATGAGGAGGGGAGCTTGAAAGCCCTCAAGTACATGTTGTTGTGCAAAGTGATGCTGAATCTGGTGCGTCTCTGTGTCTTCTTCCGTAGATTGCTTGTTGCTCACGCGGTACCTGTAGCCCGATGACGTGACGTCTCTGCTGTCTATCAAACTTGCAGCCAAGTATGCGCAACTGCGTGAGGTGGAGAGTATGCGCGCGGTCGCGCGCGCACATCAGAACCGGAACCTTGCCGACTTCGAGAAGGCACTGCGGGACTATCGAGACGGTTTGTACCTCCCTCGCCTTCCCGACAAGCGAGAGCGATGCTGACGCCCGGTTACAGAGCTCTCGTCCGACCCGACCATCCGCTCGCACCTCGCTGCGCTCTACGACACCCTCCTGGAGCAGAATCTCCTGCGGATCGTGGAGCCGTATTCCGTCGTGGAGGTCGACTATGTTGCGCGGCAGGTCGGGCAGGGTCAGCAGGAGGTCGAAGCCAAGTGCGTGTTTCCCTATCTCATCGCCGGGCGCAGCATGCTGAACTGTGCCGTGAACGTAGGCTGTCGCAGATGATCCTTGACAAGATATTCCATGGCGTGTTGGACCAGGGCAGAGGCTGTCTGCTCGTGTACGATGAGCCTGAAGTAGATGTGAGTAGCCAACAGCCTGATGTTGCAAGCATCGAAACTCATTCGATTATGCGCGCGCAGAATTCGTACGGTGCCGCGATAGACACACTGCAGCAGGTCGGGAAGGTTGTCGACTCGCTTTATGCGAAGGTGAGTGGGTTGTTTATTCTTGTCACGTGCACATTGTTCACCTCTGGACTTCCGCAGTCGGTCAAAATCGCGTAGTGGTATTGTACTTGTATAGATACATCCAATGCATTGATCTTCCCGTTATACATATATGTTTTTCTTCTGAGGAATGATGTCACTGAGGGGCAATCACTGCGTTTCCTGCTTTCTGTTCAACGGGGTGGATAGGTGTAGATAACTAATATATACTTACCTATCCTATTTCTTATCCCCTACACCTACTCTCGGGCATATTCGAACTTCTCGTCGGTCTAAAATTGGCACAGACAGTGGTGAGAGCTGATGTTTACACGAACTATCCAGCCGCGGATAGACAAGCTATCCTCTACCGATCTGCTATGGAATCGCTGTCCTATCCTCACATAGATCTTTCAGCTGTTTGCCATATCTACAGCCTGTTCAAAATGTCTCTAAGTCCCAGCCCACCATGTCCTCAATGCGGTTCATGATGGCCAACCCGTTTTACACCCCTCATATACTGGTCCCGCGAGCACATCGCCCTCTCGCCAACCCGATTCCTCCACCGCCCGACCCCGGCGATCGACTCATCAAGCAGCTTCGCACTGCCGAAGTCACATGCAGCTGTAAGACGCGCCTAAGAACATCATCCGACCAAGCGTTCTGCGAAGTGTGGATGCTTCGCCGCAATGTATGTGAGCTTCCTATGTCCTTCTTGATGCTCCTTCACATGCTGCTGTCTCTCGCAGGACCCGAAACCAGACGGGTTTTTCGCGGATCAAGACGTCCACTGTCTGTTTGTAGCTGTAACCTTGCCAATCAACTGCAGCATTGCATATCAAGAGCGTGCCAGCCCCGTGGCAATTGTGGACAAGTTTGTTGGATGGAGAGGGAATTTGGATGCCCCGACATGGGCGAGATGGGAACCGGACAAAGCACACCTGTTCCTGTCAATGAGGGCGGCTGTAGCAGAAGTCTTCGGGGATTTAGCACTCACAGAGCATAACACCGAGGTGGTGAGTTACCTTCTGTTCCATTGATGTTGAAATATTCCAAGCAAACGGAAGACGAGTGCGTTTGCCCCAGGTGGTCGGTTGCCCGAAGGGCAATTGCGTACAGTACATCGAGTAGATACAATGAATATATATGAATTTTCTTATCACCTTATTTAACTAGTCAAAGTTGGGATTAACCCAACTTTGAAAATAATAATTCTGGGGATGTTGTTATGATTTTCCCATGCTTATCTCATTCCATTTCCATTCCAAGCATTGCTATTGGACAGTACCTTTCTCTGAGTAGAACTTCCCATGGACGCTATTTAACTAGTCAAAGTTGGGATTTATAGGCAAAAAGTTGGATTTAATCCAAAATTCAAAACCATTTCCCTGGGGTAATTAGGGTGGCAAACAACAGTTTATATAGTGTAGATAACATGTGCAAAAAAGCTAAGGAAACGGCGGACCCGATTTGAAGATAATGAGCCAACAAGGGAGGGAGACCGTGGGACCAGCAAAGAGTCGGCGAAGGGTCGGCTGTCATAATGACCCCTCACATGAAGAGTCCCACGAAGGGTCGTATGAAGGGTTCCACGAAGGGTCGAAGGGTCATACGAAGGGTCGAAAGGCAGGACTCATGGCAGTTCTGTGCCACTGGATTTATTTTATTTAATATATTATATTTATAAGGTGATTTACTAAATGCCTAGGGTTAGAGCTGGCTTTGGGTTACCAGATTAGGAAGGAGCGTGGGAACACCCACCGTAACTTTACGGCCCATGTCTGTTTACGCAACAGGGATCAGGTTGAGGGTGCAATGGGGGTCTTCAATGGGTATGTCCCACCGTAAAATTACGGCAAATAACTGCAGTAGCAGCTTGACACGTCGATGATGTCATGGGAATGCTTTGTAACAGACTACCATGAGGTAGTTGTGAGGCATGGTACAGGGAGATGTAAATAGGAGGACGTGCAAGCGACAGAGGCAATCCATTTCCACAAGCTACTTCGATGTCCTCCATCGCTGCATTGACGACTATCCCGAGTGATCCCAACGACCCAGCCATCAAGGTATGTCACCTTGGATCAAACCATTGGCATTGCAGCAGTCCAGGACTCACTGGAGCGTAGATAGCCTAGAAGCGTGGCCTGTGTGACATTGCTGGTGAGT